TGAAAATAAGTGACTTGTTTAGAGAATACATAAAATTCAACTTGGATAAAGACCAAGCAAGGCTGAAAGGGTGCTGATCTAAGAAAGCAGATGAGCAAGAAGCAAATCACACACAAAGTGTTGGTCACAGGAAGGTACTCAGTCCTTTTTCCTGAGAACAGAAATTGCTGAAAGTTTATCAGACAGTGACATGATTAGATTTGTATATTGAAAAGATCACTCTGGATGCAAAATGGTAACTAAGAATAAAAACACACTTGAAATCCATTACTCCTTGGTCATGCTTGATGTGTCACACAAGCATTGGTCTCTTCTTGTTTGACCTTACATAGCATTACTCACCAATACCTTCCTTTCTATCAGCACATTTCCATTAGTTCCTTCATGATCAGGATTAAGAATATCCACCAGATTTACTTATAAGTAACAGTCTGTATTCATCATGCTGTTCCTTTGAAGTTCTTCAGCATTTGTAAGATGTTTATAATGTAGTGAATTAACTTAATTCTCTATTTAATGCATTCCTTTTCTACGCTAGACTTTATTTAGAAACAACAGGGGCCTATATACAGGTTTTAGAGTTTCAAGGCCTAGGGCAGGCCACCCCCAATTATCCAATGGTGACACATTGATTACTTTGAATTCAAGTTACTTAATAAGCAGCTAGTGCAAGAAGGACACATTGACCCTCCCCTGTCCCCTTCAATGCAGGAATAAATCTCTCCTATTAAAGGCACCCTCCTTGGTGCAGGTTGCTGAGAGAGATACCTTTACCACTAGAGTTAAGGAAGAAAAGTCAAGAAACCCATATAAACAAATCTCTCTACTCCTGTACTAATTTACTCTCCTAAGCCCTCTTTTTGTTCAGATCCCTTACCAATGAGCACCCAAACCTAAGTTTTCTTGTCCTGTCCAACTTATTTTGACAAAATCTATCCTGTCAAAAACAAACGAACAGTTTCTTTGTTCAAAATTAAAAACTGTCTACTTCAGCACAATTTATAATAGCCAAGTGCTAGAAGCAACCTAAGTGCCTATCAGTAAACACATGGATCAAAAAACAATGTATTTACACAATGGAATACTATGCAGCAGAAAGAAAGAAGGAGTTCCTACCCTTTGCTGGATGGAGCTGGAGAGCATTATGCTAAGTGAAATAAGTTAGGCAGTGAAAGACAAATTCCATATGATCTCACCTATAAGTGGAACCTAATAACAAAACAAACGAGCAAGCAAAATATAACCAGAGTCATTGAAATTAAGAACAAACTGACAGTAACCAGATGGAGTGATAATGGGAGGGAAGGGAGAAGGGTTTTCAGGAATATCTATAAAGGACACATGGACAAAACTAAAGGGAGTAGGATCAAGGGTGGGAAGTGAGGATGGCTGTGGTGGGGGGAGTGATGGGGGCAAATGGAGACAACTATATTTGAACAACAATTTAAAAAGTTAAAGAATTAAAAACTGCCTGCTTCAATCATTCCTCTGACATTACTTATAATCTCCAGTGTGCACATATTAAATTGCTTTTTTCTTCTGTTAATATTATGTCAATTTTACTACTAGTCTAGCCATAAGAACTCAGGAAGGGTAGAGGAAGATTTCCTCCTTACACACAAGAATAAGGTCATTTTTATAGATAAGTCATTTTTTTAGTGTTGGCTTACTCCTACTATTAATAATAGATTTCTTCAGTTTGTAAACTATGTTTTTTGCAAGCATCATAACAGTGAAATAATCTAAAAATAGATATTACAAATGATTATTTAAAGCAGCTGTGTAATCAATTCAGTATAATCAGTAGAAATTAACACTGATCTAGACTTGGTCTCCAACCTCTGCAGTATATTTTATACAAAATCTTATTTTGTGTATGAACTCATATAAAAATTGTCAGTGATAAACATTAAAAAGTTTGCTTCACATTTCACATAATATGAGAAGAAAACATTCCAATGACTAGATTTAGATTAAAAACATAATAAACACTATTAATATAACAAAATTTGTAATCCAAATTCAATAAAATATTAAAAGGCTACATTAGTATTTCACGTTTTATTTTATTTTTTACATATTTTTTATTGTTGTTCAAGTACAGTTGTCTCCATTTTCTCCCCACCACTTTCCCCTTCCCCACCCCCACACCTTCCACCCTCAATCCTACCTCTCTTTGGCTTTGTCCATAGTTCCATTATACATGTTCCTTGATGACCCATCCCCTTCTTTCCCTCGTTATCTCTCCCCTCTCTGGTTACTATCAGTTTGTTCTTTTTTTCCCAACATCTCTGGTTCTATTTTGTTCACTTGTTTTGTTGATTAGGGTCCACTTACAGATGAGGTCATATGGTATTTGTGTTTTACCACCCGGCTTATTTCACTTATCATAATGTTCTCCAGTTCCAACCATGACCTGGCAATTCCACTGTTGGGATTATGCCCTAAGAATCCTGAAACACCCGTTTAAAAGAACCTACAGACTCCAATGTTAATAGCTGCACACTTTACAATAGCCAGACTCTGGAAGTAACCTAAGTGATCATCAGTAAATGAGTGGATCAGAGATGAGTGGATCAAAATTCCTTGTACATTTATACACAGAATACTATACAGCAGAAAGAAAGAAGGAGCTCCTACCATTCATGACAGCATGGATGGATGGAACTGGAAAGTATTTCACCTTTTTAAATTTAAATTTTATGAAATAACCAAGATAAATTTTATAAGGAGTTTCACATTATAGACATTGCGCTTTAATATTTTTTAATTTGAGAAGAACTTCACAGCTTGATTTTAACTTTTTAAAAATCCTGAAATAATGTGGGTCAAATGTAATCCATTGTTCTTTTCCAAAGAAAATTTAGGGATCTCCCTTACATATCAAAACCAGGAAGCCAGGGGTAGATCAATAAGTGGAGATATCCTTTATTCACTATTGTACAAAAGGAATGTGAGCATACAAAAACAGCTAAATTAATTTAAGGCCAAGTTTCCTTTTTTGTATAATATCCACAGGCATCATATTACATTTTAGATAAGTTTGTCAGGTAAAGCCTCTCTGGGGAAGTAGAGTGTGAGCACAGCCCACAATAAAGCAGGGAGCAAATAATTAGCAAAGACCTGTATTTTGCACAGAAGAAATGGAAAATCCAAAGCTGTGAGGTAGGAGCAATCTTGGAATGTGTGAGGAATAGTGAGGTCACCAATATTAACAGTAGTCAAGAAGGTAAAGAGAATTATCAGATGGAGTCAAGGATGTAGTGATGTAGTAGTAAGAGGCATGGTAGGAACAATATAGAAGATAAATCTTACTCTGGATGAGATGGAAAGGTATTGAAGGTTTAAGAGCAGGATCATGGCACAATCTCATTTATGTTTCTCAAGAACTCTGTGACAAGAGTGGAAAGAGGCAGACCAATTCGAGGGTTATATTGTAGTTCACCTGATATACCATGATGGCTTGTGTGAGATAGCTATTGTTCTGTAGAGATTTCAAAGGTGGCAAAGGTTGGGACATATTGAGGACAAGAAAGTTGATGATGAATGTTGGAGTGTTGGGGAAAGAGAAGAATCAGGTTTGACCCCCTAAGTTTTTGTTTGAAAAAGTGGATAGATAAAGGTCCTATTTATTATGTTGGAGAGCATGGGGGTGATGCAGGTTGAGGATGTAGGCATTCAAGAGTTTTTGCTGCATTTAAAGCTTAAATGCCTGTAGATATCCAAGAGATGGTGTTGTATGATCAGTTTGATACATGGATCTGGTCATAAATTATGGAATCACTGTGATATTCATTATCTTTTCCTCATGTAAAAGATGAAAAATTTTATCTATACATTAATTACAAATATATTCTTTTGAATATATTTTACTTCAGACTGTATTCTCCTTTCTTTGAAATAAACTGTATTACATCTTGGACATTGGGCATAATTCTGATAATTTTCCATGATTGAACAGGTATGGTGTACAAGATCCCTGAAAAGATAAGAAACATTGGTTATATTGCTTTTCCAGTTCTGAAAATTTACCTTCTTTTGCTATTTTCCTATCCATTCTCTCCAAAAAGTAGAAAAAAAAGATTATAAGGAAAATACATTAGCTCCCTAAATGTAAATAGTATAAGTATGGGAACTAAAAGGGACCTTATAATAAGTCTGACAAGTTCAGTGACTGAAAGTAAACTCACAGAGTGACCTTGTAATAAATCCCTCCTGGCTGGGCAGGTCATAGTGAGTAGTTATACCACAGGCCTATAACTTCCTTAATGAAAGGTTTTTGAGCAAGTCCTGTCCACTGTTTTTGTGCATCCACATTCACACATCTTTCAAATGCCAGAAGTAATCCTTTTTTTCAGACACCCTCAGAAGTGAACTACCCTGAAGGAAACACATAATCTTGTTAGCTATCCTATACCTTATTTTCTCCCACCTTCATGTAATCTTTCTTATTTCCCCTTATTCATTCCATATGTATTATAAAACCTCATAACTGTCATTCTCCAGCACATTTCAGATCTTGCTTCCCAGCAATATCATCAGTTTGGCTCCAATAAACTCTCAGAAAAATCCCTTACAGGTTGGCCATTATTGCATTAACAAGTATATTAAGTTTATATTTTTTCTTATTTATTTCATTTTATTATTTAATTTTTTCATAGCATAGTGCCTCCTGGAAGATAGACACCATTTCAAATCAAATCAAGTTAGATACAATGTCTGTTTTTCATCTGCTGCCTCTGTTACGATTGATGGAGGTAACAAGTATTATAAGCATACTTGACCTCGTTTCAAAACATATAAACAAAATAAGAAATGTATGTGTAAAAGCATATGAGAACAAAAAATATAATATTGTAAATTTAAAATATATGAGCACTGTAATTGTTTAAATAAGAGGTAGATACTATGATCCTACTGGCTCTTACATAGTAAAACTACATCCAATATGTGCGGAGATGGTAACAGCAGTGTGAAAGCCATGGCTGAATATCACTTACCAAGGGGCTGGCCTGCGATGATTCTGGCATTTTCTCCAGCGACTGCTGCCCTTGCATGCCGCTCACTCATGTATTGTACAAATGCGTAACCTTTGTGAACTGAGCATCCAACTATTTTCCCATACTTTGAAAAAATGGCTTCAATGTCAACTTTCTTGACAATGGCTGTGTTTAGATTGCCAATGAAAACACGGGAGTTGATGGACTTGGGGTCATTCTTATTGGTGACGTTGCTGGTCTGTGTTTTGCCAGTCATGGTAGGGTCACCTTGTTTTAATCCTAAAACAAATAAACAAACAAAAATGCTCAAAAAGTAAATAATTAGATGGAATGGACATCACTGGCAGTTTTGCAATATATAGTAGGTAAACTTCAATTATCTAAGTATGACTGATTTTCTTGAAAAGAAAATTTAGCAAGGTAAAAGGTGAATATTACATTGCAGAATGTGATAGAAAAATACTTATAACCACTTAGCATAGAAGTATAAGTAGATGAGTTCCTGATTTCTTCATCCACAATTAAGCCCTGAGTAATAACTAAACCTTTTATAATTTTTTAAGTCTCATTTTTTTAGAAGGAAGTTGTAGAATAAATCACCTTATTATATCAACAAAGGAAAACCCAACATGGCTAAGGCCAGATGATGAAATATATAAGTGACCTCCCTTTATTGTTAAGAACATGCATTTTTATCTCTTCATTTTCTTTAATGGGTAGACATATTGACTATTCATTCTCAGAACAATCCTGCTAGAAACTAACAATCCATTTCATTGAATGCTGTGGGAAAAAAAGGGTGGTAAAAAAAAATTCAATTATAAAACTTAACATAAGAAAAACATGACTCTGAAAATAAAGAAATTAAGCAGAATGAATTTTTTACATTCTTTTTAATTGAACCAGTATCACATGTCAGTTTCCCAAAACAAGCAGCCTATGCAGCTAATTTTTCATCAATAATCAGCAAATTAGTAAATTGGGAATCTGTGTTAAAGTTTCTATTCTCAACCTCATTTTTAATTCATTTAACTAATGGTTCCTATGTTGCCTAAAGACAGTTAATGTTTCAAAGACTACTTTGTGGGCTTGGAATAGTGTTTAATTGTGCTTAATTAAGTGGAATAGCTTTTATTTCTAAGCATTCTAGCACCTACAGGTTTAGTTTTAAAGATTTTAAAAATTCATTCATTCAACAATGTTTATTAAGCATCTATGTAACTTCCTGGTGTTGTCTTTTAAAGTGCCTATCAAGTTAAAATTTAATGAAACTAAATTTCTACAAAGACACAATCTCTGACATTGATAAGCATGGTTGAACATTAGCTAACTGATACATTTTATCATTGAAAAAATATTTTTATATGAAGGATCTCTTTTATAGCCCTAGAGTTATAAAAATAAAGTGTCTCTTAGTTAAAAAATAGTTTTAAATGACATTTCTAATTTGAGCAGTAATGTTTGGAAATCTTAAAGGCATGTAAACTGCATGTACTAATAAATTTACTATGCATTTAAACCAGCAACTTTTGAAATTAAGAGAGACAAAATGAGAGTGCTCATTATTACATGTTGGATGGTTAAATTTTTACTAAATATTAGACCCTCAACATTACATGTATCTTCTTATAAGGAAGGTGAACTTTGTAAGCATTTATTCACATAAAAATTAAGAGAATGACATCATTACAAACAAGGATTATATTGCTGCTTTGCTTTGTTTCAGCTTAGCTGCATTTTAGTGGTTGCTTTATGAATCATTCAAGGTATTCAGTATTAGGGTTGAAGGGATAAAAATGTGATAACTTTTTAAAATTTTTGCAATTTGAGTTATAGCATACTTCAAGACAAATGCCGAGAATCAACTGAAACAAGAAAAACCAAGATGTACATATGTATTTTAAACATTTAGCTTCTTCATATAATCCAGTGTACTTAATCACACAGAAGGAGAAAATTAAGCTAAAAGACCTATTTTTTTTTTTTTGGCTATGGAATAGATTGATGGTTACTTTCCTTACCCCTCCAGGCCAACATCAGTAATATTATCCACTGAAATAATATTTTCTTTTAGCTCTTATGTGATATTTTTTGATGTATTGTAGCATTATTTTCAAGAATAAACTATTTATGTGGCTGACATTTTATTTCCTGGGCAGGGGTTAGTTGGTTAAGAAGCAAATACAAACATTGTTAGATTAAGACAGACCCATGGTTACAGAATCCAGTGGTCTGTCTTTGACAGTGACCCTGTCTCATATTTAATATGAGGACACAAATGTACTCTGAATTCTCACTATAAACACCACCATAACCTCATTGACTCTGTCCTTTGACTCCACGGATAACTCTCATAACTTAACTCCAGAGTTATTATAGAATTCTACTTTATGACTCTTAATCTCCTTAAAATCTGTACATGTCTAACTTTTCACACAAAGTCTGACTTGCCAATTCCCATCAGTGTTTATAACCAAGAAAGATTTTTGTGGTAGTGTTGTCCATTACCATTTCAACACTGCAAAATCAAGACTCAGCTCACAGGATAATATTTAGCTTATGCTTCTCTGTTATATTAATTTTCAGTCTGTTGAAGGATGTTCACTGTCAGCCATGATGGACTAATGAGTTGAATGAACCCTCCTGATTCAAACAACTAGAAAACTAGGCTCATGTAGATATTAAACCATAGGCAGTGCAAATCCCAGGTGCTCAACAGACAAAAAGTAAAGGAAGGTTTAGTCTGGCCCCAGCTTTCTGTCTGGAAAGTGTTTTGAGTCACAGAGCTGGGGTGTATGTATATATATGTGTAATGGAAAGTAAGCAACTTTACTGAGTTGAGGTGACAGAGATCAGAGTTCAGGACATCTGAGAAGGCAGGGATTTGTGGGCATGTTCCCAGAGAGAAGAGAGCTATGCAGAATGTAACCAGATATTGTCTCAGGAGTCCCTCGAATATGTGCTGACTCACGATATATGTATGCAAGGTGAACTTCATGAGGTTAGTTAGAGTTATTGGAAAGCTGTGAGCTGATTGGCTCCCAATCCACAAAAGGCCAAGGATCATTCAAGTTTCCACCAGCAACAGTGTAGAATCTAAAACGATTTCTGCAGCACAATGTTAGACACTAAAGGACCAGGCCTTAGTAATAAGGAAAAAGAGTCCTTATGGCAAAAGATACTCTGGGACCCCAATGATAAATCTTAAAAACAAGTCTCAAGATGATCAAACTAGCCCACACACCTGAATGTCTACAGAGCACAGCACAATAATTCTTTAAAAAGTAGAACTCATTCAGCTATGTAAAATATAAAAACTTTACCGTCCAATAAAATACTCCTAGACACTCCAAGAATCAAAAAACTGAACCAAAACCAGGAGAGAAATAAATATATAAAAAAGAACCAGATGGAACACATAAATATGAAAACTATATTATCAAACATAAAAAATATACTTAATTAATATTGAAAGTGATAAGACTCTTCAGAAGAACTGGTATGTGAATGTGAAGCTATAAGAAGAGAATAAGTGCTGGCTGGTGTAGCTCAGTGGCAGAGTGATGGCCCGTCAATCAAAGGGTCACTGGTTCAATTCCCAGTCAGGGCACATGCCTGAGTTGCAGGCCAGGTCTTTGGTTGGTGATGCGAAAGGCAACCACACATTGATGTTTCTCTTCTTTTCTTTCTTCCTCCCTTCCCCTCTCTAAAAAATAAATAAATGAAATCTTTGGAGAGTACCCAAAATGTGTCATAAAGATAAAACACTAGGAAAAATAATAAAAGAGCATCAGTATAACCTACATGTATATGGAGTGCCAGAGGGACAAAAATATTTTTAAAATAATGACCAAAAATCTTCCACATTTGATGAAAATTATGAATCTAATAGATCCCAGAATATCACTGAACCCCAATCAGAATAAACATAAAGAAAAGCACAGGCAGAGAAATCATAATTGAATACTGAGAATCAATGATAAAGAGAAAAATCAGGGAACTCTCTGACATTGGAAAAATGCCTACATTATAAGAAAAAAATGGACAACAGTTCAGAAAAAGTTGCAACTACAAAACAAATGACAAGGGAAAAGACAATTATTTAGCAAAAATGAAACTAGCCTAGAACTTGTCTGTTTTTAAGTTAGAGGTTTGAGTGGAGCTAGGGTTAGATGTCTGTGAAGGTTGCTGTATAATAAAACATGCACTATAACCCATGGCTGCTCCACAGAAACTTCTGTAATTATGGAAACATTGTACATCTACACCATCCAAAAAGGAAGTCTATAACCCCATGTGACTTTGAGGACTTGGAATGTGATAGTGTAGTGTAGTTGATAGTGTGTTTGAAATTTTAATTTTACTTAATTAAATTAAAGGCAACATTTCCCTGGATTGCTCTACTCAAAAAGGTTAACAGGGCTCTGGTCCTTTAAAAATATAGTGTAAATATAAAATGGAGATAATTTGACTGTGCATATTTTAGGTCCTCAAATCTCACAAACAATAAATAATTTGGAATAAAAACAAAAATTTCAAGTAGCTGCCATGTAAGGAATTATTTACAGGTAGACTTTTTATTATGGAAATATTATACTGAAATGATGAATGCTGTGTAAAATTTTTTAAACATATGTTTTGAATAAATATAGCCTTTTTCTTTATGTTTGAGAGAGATTTTTACTCTTGAGTCTCAAAGGGATGTGATCTCAACTATAAGTGGAATCTAATCAACAAAATAAACCATTGAGCAAAATAGAACCAGAGACTTTGAAATAAAGAACAAACAGACAGTGATCAGAGGGGCAGGGAAAAGGAGACAACAGGGGAAATAAGGGGAAGGGTCATCAAGGAACCATAAGTGTCATAAAGGACCCATGAACAAAGACAATGGGGGGAGGATTGAATGTGAAAGGTGGGGTGGTTAGGGAAGAGGGGAGTAATGAGGGGGGCAATGGGGACAATTGTAATTGTATGACAATAATAAAAAATAAAAGCATTGTAGAAAGTAAAAATAATAAAACGAATACATTAATTATGAAATATAGGCAATGTTAAATTGAGCCCTAGAGAAGACATTTTGGGAGCAAAATTAATAGGACAGTATATTCCACCCTTCTAATTTAAGTGGTCATGATTTTCCAATCTAAACTTTAGATATCCTCAGACACTCATACTGAACAAAGAAGGAACAACAAAACAATATCAACAATGAGAAATACCAGGTATTCAAGAATGTCAACCAACAATATTCAT